GACAGAAGAACGCAAACAAATGTCTAAATTCTTTGGTCAGTTCCAAATAAATAAAATGGATCCACATTTTAAGAATGGAAAATAAATCACTAAAAATGGCATCGATACTTTTCTGTTGATTCAAACCGTTTTGTCCCAGTCTTCTGAGCCTTGGACTGTGTCCTCTGGGGTGTCGTGCTCTGTAATGCATGAGTTTTCGTTAACATTTTCTGGTGTCATTTTGTCCTTTAGCTCGCTCATACTCCTGACGTTCTACTGTACGTGGTTGCAGGAGCCCAGACATTAGCGCATGTGCCACTACCTGCTGCTCTTCCTACGCTTTGCAGGTCAGGTTAACCTGATGTGGCTCAAACTCTGCTATTCTTATTGTCATTGGACTTTTGTGTTGCCTGTCAAAACATGGATGGAATGAGTTTTACCAACTTTATATTTATTTTGTGATAACTAAATGATCACAAGCATCAAAAGAGCAACTTGTTTCCCTTTCCTGTACTACATTTTTCCTCTTTTTATGATGAATTACCTCACTATTCACTTTTGCTCTCCCCTTTCTTTAACAGCTGTATTTACCTTCCTTCTTTGGCCTTTCTATCTTTTACAAATCTCAGGGATGTAATTAAAAGCTCAACCTTCCGACAATTGAATATAAGCGAACTATTAAATAACCTCCAAATTCTACAGCCCTGACAAATTACACATCACCAGTGTATCCTTACTCTTTTTTGCCTTTATGTTGTGCATCCCTTTACCCTGCCACAGCTTCCATTTTATCTTAACAGCCAGATGACATTGATGATTAATGTTGAGAGTTAATCACCCACAGCATGTTGGATTTAATCATTCTTTGATGACTCTACATGCCATGAAAATCTGTTGGAGGTTGCTCAGTTTGGTGCTGCTAAAGATTAAATTCTGTTTAGAGGGAGCAGTCACACAGTGGTAGCTAGGCCCAGCCCTGGTTTTGTTTGCTTTTTTGTTTTTTTTTCAAACATGCTTGACTTGAGCTTTTATGATATTAAAGGCAGCGTGTTGTCGGTGGTCTCTGTTATAGATGGAGCCGATGATAGGCTCTCCTGTCCAAATAAATATCTCCTGTCAAAAATAGACATTGTTTTTTATAGATGTCTAAAAATGATTGGAATTGACTCTGTGTAAATATACCAGGGAGCCCAGAATGGCAAAGCCCAGATCTACCTAGACTACTTTTTCAGTCAGTGTTAAGCAACTGGTGTGTGCTGTGTGCAGCACTTTATGCACTGGTTGTAAAGCTAACCCATACCAGAATTTAATGAACCATAGATTGAATGACAGATTAACCAATTTCTGATCATGTGTGGCCCAGTACGCTTTTGTCAAGCATTTCACATAAGCTTCTTTAAACAAAAAAAGAAAGAAAAAAAAAATTGATTATTAATTTTAGATTGATAAGAATTACTGGCTAAAAAAGTCAAATTATCTGAGAGGTAATTGTAATTGAATAATAAATAAGCCCATTTTTGTGTGTTCCATAATCCTTATTCTGGACAATAGTCACGACAATTTAAAATTTTAAATGATTAGTTTGGTGCATAGTTTTTAATTCAGTGTCAAACAAACAGCAAATGGCACCGGGCCTGATAGAGTAAGGTTGCCTTGCTGCATACAACCAACAATTCACACCTATTATGCATAGTAAAAGGAAAACCCTGCACTGTCACTGTTTACATTATCAGCTTCAAATAGACTGCTTCAGGGTTACACGTTTCTGCAAGAGATGATTTTGCAGTGTGAATGGGCTGCATGCAAATTTAAGTGTATGCATTAGGCCGTGTTCATAGATTACAAGAACTACCATATAAACCGTCATTTTTCTTGCTTGTGGCTAATGTGCGTGCATCTGTGCATGCTTGCAATCTGTCAGGGATAAGCTCTTTGCTGGACAGCTGGCCAGTTGTTGAGAGCGAGAGAGATACAGAAATCTGATGATTAATCACTCTCCAGGCTAATGCTTAGCAACTGCAGAGAACCAGCCAGGCCTCAACTCCACCATACTGAGTCCATCTCAGCCACAAAATGAATTTGTATTATCCAGAAACATTTTAATAGAATTACCCTGTCATACTACACCGCCCACGTATGATGGTAAATAAACTGATGCCACAAAGCGTGCGAACCCAAAAATGCGTACAGCATTGTCCGCTTCCTATTTGTATGCATTTGTCGTCATGTTGGAATATACTCATTACCCTTGTATACTTAAGGCAGAAACCAAACCTGGACTCTGTTTCTGCTTCCCTTGCCTTGGAGTGTTTGACTTATTTGTCCTCAGGCAATAGCGCAAGTGCACATATTATACTGAAGCGGATATGAGAAAATGGTGGACACAATCTGGCCTGTATCCCCATGTTGATATTTGTTTTGAGGGAGAGAGAGTTAGTGCATTGGGTGTGTTCTGCCACAGTGTTGTTTCTGTTGTAGTCAGCTCAAATGCTGGTAAGAAATTTGGCTACAGCTGGGAAGTTTGGCTGTTTTACCAGCCAAGTGTGCCAGATACCCAACCACGCTCTTCAAGCCGATCAGATAGTAGATATTGAATTTTGGTGAACAACTCCAGACACCGGACGGTAGATTAATGAGAAAAAGAGAAAAAAAGTGTGTTGCCCTCCTAGTCAACTCTTGAAGTGTAGTTCACTTAGATAGGTGTGTTTCTTCTGAGCCTTTTAGCATGGTAACAAAAAGGACAATTTTCTGACACTGCCTGCAGTTTGCCGTTAGGCTTCGAATTGGTTGCTGGTTTAACGCCAGAGATCTTTGCATCGATGCTGCTGAAGAAACAACATAGTAAATTTAAAGAGTGACTGATAATGCAGCCTTAGTGACATGATGGGTAATTCTCTGCCCATTATCAGTCAGGCCCAGGGCAGAGCTGACTATGTAGTGTTGCTGTCAGGATGTTTTCTCTGTTTTGTCTGAAACGGTGAACTTGTTTCTGTGTCATGCTTTATTTCAGTTATTTAACACTTTTCTCTTCCGTTTTTCTCGAGGCACAAGTTTTCTGACCATCATTCGAACTGTTGCTACACCTGAACTGTATGAGTTTACTGCTTACTTTGCTTCTAGTTTTTAAATTTGGATTTAGAGTTTTCCACATTTCATCTGAACTGTCCGCCGATTAGGTTTAAAAAGAAACAGGCCACATTGTTTCACACTGATGCTTTTGTTAGTTTAACACTGCGTTGCTGACATGGTTTGGAAGTCTGATCTGTCAATCATCCTGTCAGGTTCAATTGCTTCTAAGTGGATGTTTTTACAGTGTTAAACCTGAACACATCAGGTGTGTTCTGGCATTGTTATTTTAGAAGCATGACAGTTGGTAGTTAGGCAGCCATTCCTACTCCTGTCTTTTTTTTTTTTTTTGTTAAATTGTAGTAATCTATTTTATGTTTTTACATATTTACACAAATAATATTTACACGGTTGCTTTTCTTTGAGTGCCGCTCTACAAATTAGTTGGAGATTGTTTCATTTTAAAAAAAACCCTTAAATAATCAAGCAGTCGACGGACTAGATACCAAACTGAAAGTAGGGCATGCATATTCAGTCGTGACCAAGTTTTGAGAGAATAAACATGACTAAACTTTTTAGTCATAGGGTACAGCTATGAACAACAACTTCTAGCTAGAACAATTGCTGCCTTTGTCAAGTATGAGATCTCTGACACATGCATGAGGAATATAAAAGTTTTTTTAAGGCATTTCTACTTTTGAAGTTGGTATTTGTTAGAGAATGGCTTGGAAAATGTTTAAGGAGGAGGAAGGAAGCAATGAGACATTGAAAAGCGAGATGCGAATAATAATTATTTCATATTTAACTTTTGGTTCTTTCAGAGGAATGGAAACCAAAAGAGTTGATCACTTTCTTTAGAAGTTGTTGACATAGACTGCATATTTTGTCTGGCTGAGGTGGAGTCGGCACTGAAACCTTATCAGCATGCCACTTGGAGTGTGTGTGTTTGTTTATGGGTACATGTTTTTCGTGTGAGAATATTTTGTATATACACATCGTATGGGTGTGTGCGTGTTAACACGTATTTGTGTGTGCATACAATTATATCCAGTGTGGCTGGCTGATATGCCAAGGATGCCCTTGTTGTAGGTGACAAAGCTTTTGCCCAGGAATTTGCTTGGCTCATGCTTCATTTGACTGCTTGTTTTTCTCTTGACTTTCATTATGTTGCCTCATTGAACGAGTCTGTTTATTGCTTAGTTGTGTTTACTTTGCAAGTTGCACAGCAGGAAAAGCACACAAAAACATGCAAGAAAAGAAATTAGGGTTGAATTAAACACATAGTAATTAAGCACATAACAGCATCTTATAAGACGAGAGAAATCAACTGCTGAGAGCAAAAGCTAGATTTAATAAAAGAAAAGAACAACATTTAATTCTTCTTCCCATTGGTAGATACACACCTACGGATAATTGTTTAAGCTACTTTGGGATGAGCCCTTCTAGGCCCACACAATAAAGCTGAACACAACGTGAGCCAAGAAAATGCTATAACTTTTTTTATTTTTCATTTCTTACTTTTAAAACAATTTAAACCAATACTAAGTCTATGTGTACCTGTACAGTCTCTCACATTGAGAGAAACAAAGCTTTTTGTCAAGTCTTTTCTTTGAAACAAGCTCAAGTGAGGTGACAAGAAACAGGAAAGCATGTGACTGTTCCCCTTTTTTTAACTCTTTTTGGTCAAAAGTCTTTAAGTATTGCAGGAAGTTTTCACCATTGTGTAAAATTTCTAAGTTAAGAGTGAAGATGTTTGTCTTGTGGCAAGACAGTCTTTGGCCAGCTTGGATATTAACCAAGTCATTGTCGCATTAATAAGGCAATTTCTTCGTTGCTCCGCTTTAACAATTAACATCATTGGTTACCACATTTCTTTTTATAGTTGTGTTAACTGCATGTCTTTGAAGCAGGCTAAAAATGTGACACATTGTTTCTTTTTTCTCTCCTCTGTTTAGGAGCGCACCAGGTCATTTGACAGCTTCAACATGAACACTCTGGAGAGCTCCCTGATTGACATCATGAGAGCCGAGCAGGACAGCCTGAAAGGTAAAGATGCCAGTTGTCAATCAAGATCATGAAACACTAAGCAGACCAGCAGCATTTTTTTTTCTGTTTTCTGTTTTTAATTTGACATCGCGTTAACAGCAGAGCTGTTTTTTCATAGAAGGCTGTAGTCACACAGGCCTAGACACTGGTTGGTGAATGTCTGACAACCACCAGTCGCTAGCAAAAAGTGAGTCTCCAGGATAAAGGTTTCGCCTTTTGAAATGTGTTGGTTGCGGCAATATGTTTCAATCTGTTTGTGACCAACGAGGAGGTTTTTGGTGTGACAGATGTCTCCCAGCATCAGCCTGTAACTTCCAGCAACCATAAATCTTTCCCTGTTCTATAGGCAAGGAATTTTTTTTACTATGGATTCAGTACAGGAAATGAGTGTATATGCTGAAAGTGTATGCTTCCCATTTAGCATGTCTGTATTTGTAGAAAACCTGTGATGCGCTGGAGGTAGTTGTATGGACCTTTATCGTTTTAGATGCATCATATTTTCCCACAGATGGCACACATAATATGATACTGATCTTGTCATTATTTGTCCAGTAAATAGCTGGTGTGCAATAGTTATTCAGTGCATGTCAACTGACCTCGCTGAAAATGAGTTTCACAATATAACATGCAAACACTTTGCAGTACACTCGTTATTTTGCATTTGGCAGTTGTCCTCATATAAGGTGTGCAATACAAGAGAAAAAAATGTTAATGTGCAAGCAGCCTTTACCTTTAAACACTTGTCTTTGTTATGGATTGTAGCTTATTTGGCCGCACAAAGGAACAACAGCTCATACACAATAATTTATCAGTTAACGCCTCAGTTTTTAGCAGAGAGGTTTCACCTCCTCCACAGGTCAGCCATGTAGAGGCTTTGTCTTCTCTTTGTGCTATCATCGGCGATATTACGAAAGGCCACAGTGCGTAGCAGTCAGCTCACACCTCTCTTCCTTTTCCTTCTTTCTTCTTCCCACTCATCATAAAAAACACAAACCAAGACAAACAAAAACAAAATTCTCCTTGTGGCTTCTATTCTTCTTCTTCTTTACATTTTCTGTCATATCCATATATGCGATTATTCTGGGTGCGACAAATGCAGCTGGGTGAGACTATGTTGCATTCTGGCTTATGCCAGAGCTGATGGCAGTGCATTTCACAAGCAGCTCTACACACGACGTTGCTTGAAACTGTGTCTAATAGTCTGTTTTTGCTTGGAAGCCATATCAGGCTGCACAGAGCAGGTCAGGAGGGGACAAAATCACACATGTAAATGACATAGAGAATCTGGTCATTTATCAAAATAAAAGACTAAACCTTTTGAAATGCTCTCAGTGTGATTCGAAGCATGCATAAAACTGCGTCAGAGAGGTGCCTTTCCTGTGCAGCTGTTAATATTCTACTTGCTGTGTTACATATGGTATTCCCTGATGGCAGATGTTTTCCACGTCAGTTAGCGTTTTCATATGCAAGTTGATTCCCATGGACCTGTATAGCAATAGTTGACTGACCCACTTTTCCACTGTTATATAACACAATAAGGAGTTAATGAATTTAATATTTACAAAACACAGACGCCCTGCCGTAGCCATCGTTGCTGCACATATTTGTGGTGTCCACAAGTTGCAGTTTTCAAAGGCACTTTTA